TGTGCCTCATAACATCAATAGACTTTATCTATTTAAGACAGGGCCACTCTGATGCCCAAGGTTGCAGTGCAGTGGCATGATCACAATTCACTGGTCTCGACCTTTCAGGCTCAGGTGATCCTCCCACTTCAGCCTCCTGAGTAGTTAGGACTACAGATATGCACCACCATGCCCATCTAATTTTTTGTAGAGACAGGGTTTGCCACGTTGCCCAGGCTGGTTTCAAACTCCTGAGCTCAAGCGATCTGCCCGTCTTGGCCTCCCAAAGTGCTGGATTACAGGCATAAGCCACCACACTGGGTCAATGAATTTTAATATTAAAAGTAATATTGGCTCTTATCACCATTTGCAGAACAGTCCTAAAGGAAAGTGCATTCAGCATTCTAAACAGCACACCAAGAATCCATCATGATGTTCCATCTCTCCACCCCTTGCACCTCCATGAAATCCCAAGGGCAAGGGGACAATCAAGAGCCCCCAGCCACCAGCAGAAATATCAGGGGCTAGAAGTACCAGTTCAAGAGTAAAAGGGTTGGTAGGCTCATGCTGCACAGGGCTGGAGGATCACATTGCAAGGAGATTCACAACCAAGAGCCCACCTCAAGAGCAGAAACTACAGGAGAAACAGTTGAAGAAACTGGTGACATTTAACCTGGAGAAAAAAGGATGGTCTTGAGGACTTCACTAGCAGGTGGACTGCTAGACCCCTTTCAGCATCAGAGTGCCCTGATTCTACAAAGAATTTGAAGAGTTTCCATGTGAAAGAAATACCAAAGTTATAATTGTGCGGGTCCCAGGGATAGATTAGGAGAAATGGGAGAAATTCACATAGAGGCAGATTTCAATCCGATGAAAGGAAGAAGCTTTAAACACAGCAAGATGTTCCAGAATAGAATTGATTACACCGTCATGGAAGGAATGTATTGAAAGGATTCCTACAGCAGGCAGGAAAGAGGCTTAGGTGGTATCTCAGATACTTTCCAATTCTGAGCCTCTGAGTAGCAGGGACTGAGGGTAAATAGGACCACTAGGGGCTCCACTGAAACCTGATCAAGACACACAAATGTCAGCTCTGAAAATTGTATTACAAAAACAGAAAAACGGTGTTGACTTACATTCACCTCCCCCTCTCGACAGATGCATTTCATGGGAGAAAACAGCTTATCAGTGGTGGTGGTAGTTACACCCTAGAATGAGGGCAGGCTGATCAGAAGACCGTCCTGCCACGGCACACAATGTCACGCAGAATGCCAGAACACCACGTGTGGTGAACAGATGTTTCAGAGATAAACAAGGGAAATTTTCTTAAAAGCTTATGACTGGCACATCACAACACTAAATGCTAATTTCTTGTTGGAGAGGTTATGTGGGTCACCCCTGTACTGCCTCGTGAATTTGTTTTTCCAGCCAAGGGAGTCTCCCAGGATGGTAGCACTAATCCACAGGAGCTGTTGTGTCCGAGTACCTCTGAGAACTGAGGCAGCATGGACTAGGGCTGGAGAACACAGGGACTGAATGACTACCTTTGCAAAGTCTGCTCTCCTGATTGGTAGCTGCGTGGCTTAAAATGAGTAACTTAACCTCTCTGTGGTTAAGGGTTCCTCCTCTTTAAAGTAGAGAAAAAACAGTATTCGCCTCCTAGGATTATTTTGAGAATTAAACACTTAGAGCATTTATGATACTTGTTTTTCGTGTAAAACACTTAGAGACGGCCCTAGCACTTAGGAAGCCCCACATTTATATTACTATCATAATAATATAATTTTGAAAGGAAGTATGGTGGAGAGCGGAAGCCCTGGACTTTGGAATAAGTTAGAGTTGGATTCAAATCCTGTGCACCAAGACTTTGCATCAACAATGGTAAAAATAGCCAGGCATGGTATCACACTCCTGTAATCCCAGCATTTTGGGAGGCTGAGGGAGGAGGATCATTTGAACCCAGGAGTTCAAGACCAGCCTGGGCAACATAACAAGACTCTCATCCCTAAAAAGCAAACAGTAATATAAAAAAGGCCAAAATCTCTCCCCCACAGAGCTGGAGTGAGAAATTAAATAACATTTGTTTATGTGCCTAGTCCTGTACCTGGCATATAGTAGTTGTTCAAGAAATACTAGTTCCTTTTTCTCCTTCCCCTGTAATAGTGTTTCATCAATGTGCCAGGTCACTGTGCTAAGAGATAGGGACACAAATATGAATGAGGTATAGTCCCTGTCTGCAAAGGGCTCACAGTTCAGCAGAAAGGCTTGGACACAAACAATGACAAGGTGCTATGACAGGGACTATCATAGAGGCATCAATCTTCCAAGGTGTGTTGCCATCATAGAAAAAGCATGGCCCAAGTTTCTCTGGGAGGATCAAGGAAACTTTTACCTAGGAAGCAATACATATGCTGAGATTTGAAGAAAGAACAGAATACCACTGGACTGGTCAAAGTGCTGGACAGAGAAGAGGGTGGGAGTATTTCAAGTTGCATAGAGAATGTGCTGCATACATGTGCCATAAAGAGACCCATCAGTCATTGCTTGGAGTCACTAGCTGCCTCTGTGCCTTTCTTTAGATTTCTGTGTCAAGGCCCCCTAGGGCCTAAGCATGATACCCCTCCTATCCCTGAAAGAGCTACCATCTGGAGAATTAACAGGAAACCCCATGGCAGAGAAGACACTCGGGCAATCAAAAGTAGCACATGTACATTTGAAGAGGGAAATAGCCAGGAAAGAGGAAGCCCACAACAGCTGAACACATCAGAAACCTAAAATGTTTTAAAGGCTTTTATAATATAGAGCTTCATCCCACTCCAGAGTTATGATGCTGGAAGATGGCACACGCTTGTCCTGGTTGCTTCATCAGACTGTACCGAGGTTACTAGGTCACCCCACCTTGGGCAAGACATGGGTCACTGTTGCATCCCCAGGACCCTTGAGACCAGGCAGGGAGCACTGGAGTATGAGGCTTTGTTAGAGGCCCCAGTACAGCAGGCAGCTTCAGAACCCTCCCCTCAAAGCCAGCAGCAGACATCTTCAGGCAACCAAACCCAAAGCAAACTGAATGTCATTAATACCCAACTGCGATAGGATTTTCCCCAGGTGAGTAAGAAGGGCTTCCAGGTGTGTGTGTGTGTGTGTGTATGTATACAGATTGCATTGGGTGTATATGTTGGTGTACATGTATGTTTGTGTACATGTATTGCATGTGTATGTGTAGTGTGTGTATGTGTATATGCGTGCTTGTACATGTGTGGCTGTGTGGGTGTATGTATGTGGGCTAGTGGGAAATGAGGGGCTCAGAGGTCCTCTTCTCTAGAGACCAGCTGCAGGGGGTCACCATGTGACAGGGATGCCCTCAGGTCAGTAGGGAGGGAAAGCCCACCCCAGCACTGCTTCTCTCCTGCTTGGAAACCCACAGCTCATTCAACAGATCTGACCAAATTGCCCCTAATTCATCATTACAAAGAGGGTAAAACTCCTCTCCATACCCAAATCTCTGCTTCCCCAAGCCTCCTCTCATCAAAGTATACAAACTTTGGTCCTTTTTCCACTGGAGTGTCCTCCTACCCTTGGGGTCCCTTCACACTGCCTCTGCCACCAAATTCTACTCTCTGGATAATGTCTGGAAAACCTCTTTATCCCGCGTAGTGACGGGGCTCAGAGTGTTCCCTTACTTTGAGCTCCGTTACTCCGTGGGATACAGGCCTCAGTGAGTCAACTATTTGGGAAACATGGGTAGAGTCCTACGGTGCACACTACATGCCCAGGCAGCCACAAAAGCAAGAGTCTCACTCTGCCCTCAAGGTGCTTGGTTGGGAGAATGAAAACTGTAAGGCCTTGTGGTGCAGTAGAAAGAGCTAGAGCTTTGGGAAAGTGGGTGCTGAATCCAGCTCTGCCACTTATAGGCTGTGTGACCTTGGGTAGATACTTGGCCTCCCTAATCTCACCTATGAAATGGAGCTAGCAGTGCACTGTGTGTCTCATCCATCCTCCCAAACAAGTAAAAGCAAAATATTAAATATTCAAAAGATTAAATCAAAGTGTCCAAAAGTGCCCAGAGGTTAGTGGGAGACCCTGGGCCCATCCAGGAAGGAAGGGTGACATCAGACAACCAGTGGGCTGCAGGATCCCAGCAATGGGAATGGGAAAGATGGAGTCTCTTGTCCATGGACGTCCCTCTTCCCCTTCCCACTCTCTTGGAGAGCTGTGCTTGGCAGACTGGGCCAGGGCTGAGCAATGGGCACTTCCAGGAAAGGGGCTGGAGCACACATGGGATGTCCCTAAGAAGTGGAGGGATGAATTGTCCCACTGAGCCTACCCTGCTCACAACGCCTCAACATACATACTCATTACTTGCCATACATGCACATACACGCGCGCGCGCACACACACACACACACAAGCACAAAATCAACCACACACCACATCTGGAAACCCTGATATCCATCCACACATCAACACATCCATTTCAAGCCCAGTACTCAGTAAGCGTACACATCCACACATGGAACATACATGTCATCATAGACACATCATGCATACACCACACACTCTAAATGGCCACAGCACCCCACCCACAGACATGCTTGCATTCAAGAGTTTCACAGAAATGCCCATTCACACATACACAATGCACATCCTACGCACACCCAATACTTGGCACCACACTCGCAACCGTGTTCAAATGCTCACACTACACAGCAACTCGCTCTCTCTACAGCCCATCTCACACACTTATGAGTCCTCTCACCCCTACCTACATTGGGGCCACATCAACACAATGGTTCTACTACTTCTTATCTCTCCCACAAGCTCGTATGCCGGGGCACTTCTGTGCAGCGCACCCCCATCCAGCTCCCCACCCACCCCCCGCGCCCGGCCGTCTACAGCAAGAGGCTCCCGCTCGGTGTGCAGCGGCCACAGTGGCCAGGAATTAAAATGCAGCGAGGAGGAGCCGGGCGCGTCAGCACCACGTCTCCAGGAGCGCACGGCGCTCACGGCCGCCGCCGCCCCGCCCGCCCCGAGCCGCGGGGCCAGCGAGCGGAGGAGCAGGTGCTCGGAGCCCAGCCGCGCCAGCATCGCGCGGCCGCTGCCCAAGTTCGCCTGGGGCCCGAAGAGGGGTCTTCCGGGCAACGGGGGAAGGAGCGCAGCCGGCGTCACGGCCACCGCGAGCTCGGAGTCTCCAGAGAAGGGCCAGCGGAGCAGCGAGTCCGGGTCACCCCCGGGAGGTGTTGGCGGGGCTCCGCAGTCCCCAGCTCCTGTCGCCGCCGGGGCAGAGAGAAGAGGCGAGGGACAGCAAGGCCGGGCTTTTCTGGAGACGCGAGGCACCTGGGAGAGCCGGGGCGAGAAGCGACACTTCCCTGTGACCAGCATCCTTGAAGGGGCCCGGCGGCGAACAGCCTCCCGCAGGACGCCCTGAGAAGCTCTCAGCCCGAGGCGAGAGCAGGCGTCTGGCAGGACTCAGGCGCGGGACTTGAGAAGCATAAGCGGGTCTCTGCCGAGCGCAGCCCGGGGAGCAGTGAGAAGGAAGGGTCCTGGAGGGGAAGGGAAAGAAGGCGGCAGCCGGCAGGGCGACCACTCACCCCCGTACACACCCACCCCGCCCGCCCAGCCAGGAGCCGCGGTGCGCCTCTGGGGGCGCTCGTTCCTTGGCGCCTTCTCTCCGGTGTCCCAGCACCACTGGGCTACGGGCCGGGCTGGTGGAGTCCCTGGGGATGTCCAGATCAGGCATGGTGGCTGAGTGGCCCCTCTCCCAGGACCAGCGTAAAAGCTGGGGTTAGGCGGGGCAGGGGGGACTCGGCTCAGGGTCCCCCGAGGTCCAGGACGAGGGGAGGCGGGCGCAGCACCCAGGGACTGGAGAGGCGGCTCCCAGCGGGGCCCCTCCAGAAGTAGTGCCAGGAGCCGGGCATCCTCCAGGAAAACCAGGGGCCAGGAAAGCCTGGGAGGCGCTCGGGAGAGGCTACTGCCAGCGGCGGCGGGCCGAGGCGGCGCTCAGTCCCGGGCGGGCGCCCGCGGAGGCGGCAGCGGTGGTGCCGGGCGGGCATGCCGCGCCACTGGAGCTCCTTTCGGGCGCACGCTTCCCTGGCGCGGGCTGCGCGCGGCTGCCGCTGCTGCTGCTTCCACTGCTGCTGCGGACTCCCATGGCGGCTCCGCCCGGCCGGGGCCGCCGCCGCTGCAGCCAGCCGCGGGCTGAATGAATGAGCCGGAGCAGCGGAGCCCGGCTGCCCGCGGCCGCGCTCACCGGCCCGGGACCCTTCCGCATGGCCCGCGAGGAGCCGGCGCCCGTGGCGGTGGCGGCGGCCGGGCAGCCCGGGGGCGGCAGAGGTGGCGAGCGGGCGCTGCAGGGGCCGGGGGTCGCCCGCAGGGGGCGGCCGTCGCTGAGCCGCGCTAAACTGCACGGGCTGCGGCACATGTGCGCCGGGCGCACGGCGGCCGGGGGCTCCTTCCAGCGGCGGGCGCTGTGGGTGCTGGCCTTCTGTACGTCCCTCGGCTTGCTGCTGTCCTGGTCCTCGAACCGCCTGCTCTACTGGCTCAGCTTCCCGTCGCACACGCGGGTGCACCGCGAGTGGAGCCGCCAGCTACCCTTCCCCGCCGTCACCGTGTGCAACAACAACCCGCTGCGCTTTCCGCGCCTCTCCAAGGGGGACCTCTACTATGCCGGCCACTGGCTCGGGCTGCTGCTGCCCAACCGCACGGCGCGCCCGCTTGTCAGCGAGCTGCTGCGGGGCGACGAGCCGCGCCGCCAGTGGTTCCGCAAGCTGGCGGACTTCCGCCTCTTCCTGCCGCCGCGCCACTTCGAGGGCATCAGCGCCGCCTTCATGGACCGCCTGGGCCACCAGCTCGAGGACATGCTGCTCTCCTGCAAGTACCGCGGCGAGCTCTGCGGCCCGCACAACTTCTCCTCCGTGAGTTGCCCTCCGCGCGAACCCGCTCCCTCTGCGCCCCCCTCCCCGGGAGTCAGGAGGCCTGAGGTGTTCCTGCCGCTCGGGGCTGTCCTCAGGCCTCTTGCCGTGTTACCATTCCATGATGCCCAGGCAGAACCCACTCTTGGATCCCCTGAGTCTTCTCCAGGTTGTGGGAACTTGGATTAACTGTAGGAGGAGTCGCCTCCCTCCAGTCGGAGCTCCCCTGTCCCAGCCCCTCCTTCCAGTGTCAGCCCCCAAACCCCTCATTCAACTCCTGATGGTCCCGTCTGTGAATATTAGTCACAAGACTCCAAGAAACAGCTCTGTGTCTGGAGTGTAGATCTCTTAAGTGCGGACTTGTCTTTGGGAAAACCAATGCTCTTAAAAAAAAAAAAAAAATAGGAAGCTCTTCAGAAATGGACCATCCGGGAATCACTCAGAGTCCCTAGGCAGGCTAAGGCTGCTAAGCAGCTTATGTCTTCAAAGTTCCAAAACAGTTAGAATCTAGGCTAACCTGGGAGGAAACTCCCAGAATGTGAACCAACACTGAAGCTGTAGACAGTTTGGTGGGGGAGGCAGCAGCATGCTTTGGCTACTTTTTCAAAGTGCAGGAGTCTTGAGCATCCAGGGGAATTGAGCAGTTGTGGGCCCCGGTTGGGCCCTCCACGTGCCCCCTCTGTCCCCCATAAAATGTAAGTATGAGTCTTCTGGACTGGAGGAATGCTCTGGAGTTGAGAAAGCACCGTAGCAGGGATGTGAATGCAAACAGCCGAGGCCAGGAGAAGCTGTGCTCAGGGTTTGTAAACCATTTGCTGTACCGGTTCCCCCACGCTGTGGGTCTGGAAAACGCAGCTGTTGGACAGAAGGTATCTGCCTTGTGCAGTCTGCCTTGGAAGAGTTCTGGTGCCAGGCCCCAGCATGATGCATGCCTGTCCAGCCACTCATGTGTAAATGTCCCTTAGGTGGGTTTGGGCTTTTCCACTAGCGCAGGGAAGGTTGGTGTGTGTGTTTATTGGTAGTGCTCTGATGGTGACTTTACCCACTCTGATTCATCACTCCTGAGAGCCTCAGTTCTGACAAAGCTTTTTCTGGGATGGTAAAGAGTTGCCACGGTTCCAACAGGTGTTGGCATGATGCCGGTTGGGCCAGGTCTCTCATTGGCTGATTGGGTTATTCCTTGTCTAGGAAGGCAACGCTGGCTTCAATCTTGTCCTGCTGTCTTTGCTTTAAGCCTGTATGCTGAGTAGCCCTGAATTATCCAATCTGAAAACATTCCTTATTTCCTGGGCTTTTCCGCTAGCCTTTAAAGAATATCTACCTGGTGGCTTTCTGCTTTGGCAAGTAGGAGATGCTGTTAACATATGCTTCTGAGTGATTTCTTCAGAAACCCAAGCACAATTCTAAGTTCCACAAAGGTGAAGGAATGAGGGCAGTGATCTATTGTTTTTTATTGTTTTTTGGCTGATCACTAATTAGCAGCCTCAAGAGTTAGATTAAAGTTCAAGGTTACCTCCAAGTAGGAGCAGGCCCTTGCTTCAGCTCCAAGTTTTACAGCAGGGCCCATCAAACGTAATTCTGAAAATCTGACTATCGCTTTGCAATGTGTGTGGAATTGCATTCTAACAGCCAGTATGCACTTTTGATATTCACCACAGCCCTGCGTTAACAATGAGTTTTATTCCCATTTTTAAAATAAGAAAAATGAAGCTCTAAAAAGCTGTCCAATGCTCAGAGCCAGCAAGTTCAAAGTCCAACTTTGCATACCACCAATTGCATTACACAGAAACCACATGTACCCTTCCTCAGAGGCCATCCAAGATCCACTGCAAGACCTTCGGCCTCTCTTCTCTCAGAGGACTCTTACACAGAATTCTTGCCCTCTTCCCTACCTCTACTCCTAGGAATCCTGTCTCTCCTAGGAGCTGAGAGAGTGGAAAGTGGAGCCACCTCAGGTGGCCCAGGTGGTCAGAGTCTTGGCAACATGTCACTGAGACGCGCAAAGGACACAGTCCCTTCAGGAGCCACCTGACTTCAACCTCTGCAGCAGGCATGGCCATGAGTTGTGTAGGTCAATTGTTAGGGAGTTGAAGAGAGTAAGGTCCTTCTCATTGGGGCACACCCTTCTCTTACCTCCCTGTACCCTGAGTCCCTGTGTTTGAAGAGTTTGCAGGCACACACACACACACATACACACACACGCAAAAGTATTACCTCCATTCCCCAAAGGTATGAGCTCCTGGAGACTCAAGTGACCCCTAGTGGCTTCCTATCATGGCCCAGTCCAGGGAGCTTGCAGCCCCTTAAAGTTGCATGCTATAGGTTTTTCGAAGGACCTCAGAATTAAAGGCTTCACCCCTCTATCTGTAGAAGCCAGAAGCTATTTTAGGGGAGCCACAAATATACAGCAGGCCCATCAGGAATATTTTTCTCTAACCACACTGCCTTGTCTCAAGCCTTTGTCATCTTTGATGGAGTGGCACCAAAGCGTAGTGGCTGAGAACATGCACTCTCAAGCTGCACTGACTGGGCTCAGATCCTGAGTCTACCACTTTCCATTTGCCTTTGGGCAAGTGACTTAATCTCTCTATTCTTGAGTTTCCTAATTCATCTAATGGAGAATACAATACCCTATGCACCATATTAGTTTTGTGTGTGTGTGTGTGTGTGTGTGTGTGTGTGTGTGTGTGTGGCAGGGAGAACTCTGGAAACTGTGCTGGGCCCCCATAGAAATGCTTCTTTTCGATCATATCAGCCTCCTAACTGGTCTTTTGGCCTCAAGCTCTGTCCCAGCCAACCCTCTGCATCCCATCGTCTGCTTTACAGCCAGAGTCGTCTTTCTAAAGCACTGCTCAAAGCATATAATCCCTCTTCTTCAAAGCTTTCACTGGTTCCGCTGTCCTCAGATTAAGGCCTGAGCTCCTCAGCCCCTCCACCTGGTCCTGCCTTATTTCTTGCTGCGTCCTCCCTCATACCATAGACTCACGCTCTACAGAACAGCTCCCAACAGCTGAACCCCTGCCCCTCAAGCCCCTCTGCTTGGTTCTATTTCTGCTGCTGCTGTAAGTGCCCTTCCAGGCTGCTTTGTGTGCCTGGGGGACACCTGTTCATTCTTCAACAGGCAGCTCTGGGGTTTCTTCTGCTTTGAAGCCTTTCCTGACCACCTCCCACCCCTATGCCACATCACCAAACAACTGATGCCTTCCCCCTCTGGCCCCTTTTCCAGCCTATTTAGATGTCCATCCTCACATGTCATTGCACCTGTTAGACTGTGCCTGTCTCTCCCTCCAGACCAGAGTAGGAATCATATCTGATTTACTTGCCGTCTCCCGCACCCAACAGACGGCTTGACATGTAGTGTCAGGAAAGGTCTGGGGAATGCACACCCCCAACATTCCCTGTTGTCCTCTGTTGCCTGCAATAAAGCCCTTGGCTTGATTCCTCTAGAGAACACCAGTGAAATGCACTTCGGTGAGAACCAGGCCACTTTTGGGCATTTATTCCTTTTGGGGACAGAAAGGGGAAAGTAGAAAACAAGATGCCAAGCACCTTCCAGACACCTGTGCTCCCCAATCCTAAGAGGACTAGAGAGCAACAGGTGAGAGATGAAGTTCTAGAGGAGGCCTTTGGGGAGATGTGCCAGCTGTTCCCAAGTTCCATTTCACCCAGTTAGCCCCATGGCCTGGAAATAAATATGGCAGGGAGGGGGTGTCTGTTGGGTCTGATCCTCTAGGCCCTCTCGGGATGTGTTTAGCTGCAGCTCCTCTCTTTGTTGCAGCTGTGCAAGAGTTAATCTCACTCAGCAGTCAGATACAGCAGCTTGGCTTCTGAATGCCTGTGTTGTTTCCCTGGCATCAGCTGTGGACTTGAGCTCTGCATACTCTGGCCCTTCTGGGGTTTCCTGAGCCAAAAGAAGGGAGCCTTCCCAGTAATTGGGTGGGATGCAAAACTGTGAGGCTGAGCTATCTGGGTACTGGGGCTTTAAAGAAGAACCAGGGGGTTGGAACAGGAACCAACAGAGGCCAATCCAAAGCCCTCTGCAAGAACAAGGAGCAGTGGCTGTCTCTCTGGCAGATGGCATGGTTCAGGGGAGAGTGCCAGGCAGACCTCAGCTAGGGGCTTTGGTGCTGCCATTTCCTAGCTGTACACCTTGGGCAGACACTTTGCTCCCTGAGCCTCTGGTAATAAGTCCTGCCTCAGAGATCTGGGATGAAGATAACATATGTGCAGTAACTGGCACATGCCTGGACAGCAGTAGGTGCTCAATAGAAAAGAGCCATTGTCATAATGTGGATAAAGTGCTCAACTCAGTGTCTTGGCATCTGATGGTAGCAGTTGCTAATTACTATTCATATAATTATCATCTTATTATGACCACTTACCTGAGTGGAGGTATATCCTCATTTTCTAGTTCATTCATTCAATCAACAAATGTCTCTTGAAGGTCAACTATATACTAAGTTCTGTACCAGCTGCTGGGGGAATAAAATTAAATAAGGCTTGGTACATGCCCTCCGGAAACTCTCAGTGATGTTAAAGACAGAGAAGTGTGAACAGATGCCACGAGCGTACAGAGGTGCTGTGTGGGCTTCGAGGATCAGACTGAGGATCTTTGATGGTTTCTTGGAGGAGGTGGTGTCTCAGCTGAATCTTGAAGAATAAGTAGGAGCTACAAAGTAGAGAAGGAAAGAAAGAGGACTTCAGATGAGAGGACAGGAGTCCAAATGCGGGAGTACAGAGACAAGAGATGATGAGATTGAACACATGCCTTCTGGGACCCAAGCCTAGTTCACGGTGGCTGCAGGGAGGGGCTGGACATGCTGAGATGGGAGCTGGGCTGAGGGGTGCTGATGCCATGATGTAGGGGTTCCTGGACACCAAACTGAAGTTTTTGGACTTTGCAGCAAAACTCTGACTTCTTTCACTACTGGTTGTTAGACTGTAGGGAGAGACCTTCTCTGTGTCCCAGCCACCCCAATTGCCACCCTGTTCCTAACTCTATG